TTAATCTCTCCTATTCCATCCTTAAAACAATAGGCAACACACCAACAAAACAACCCAAATTCACAGTTTCTCATCCTTATAGCACCAACCCCCAATATTTTGGTACAAATTTATAACTAGATGCCCAAGCTATACAACTTTTCAACATAAAACAACCTCACAACAAAGCATATGAAGCTATAATCAAATGATATGAAACCCTTGCCACAGCCAATCAATGGACCAACTATGATGGAGCCGTATGGCCAGTATCACAAGACTTCCTGATAAATTACATAACTTTGCTCCACAAGACTGTCACACCCCCTACTATCATGACTTACCTCTCGGCCCTTAAATATCATCACTCAAGAAACCACTATGACTGGAGCCCTATTCGTTCTGACCCTCTAGTATTACAACTTCTGAAAACCATCGAAGCCACACACACTCACAAGCCTATTAATCAAAAATCTTACATTACCCATCAACACCTGCTACAAATTCAACAACAACTGAATGCAAACAACAATGTAGACACCCTATTCTGGGCTATCACTTTGTCAGTCTTTTACGGTCTTGCACAACTAGGGAAGCTCCTACCAAACAACTAATCAGATGAAATAAAGGTTTCAACCATGGCCGCACTAAAGTTCGAGTTATCCGAGAGCAATACCTTCGCAACGATCCAACTACCACGAACCAAAAAACACAAGTCCACCAATCGTACATCACTTATTATACACCCAACTAATAATTCCTTGTGCCCTGTATGCGCATTGAAGACATATATGAGTATCCGCACACAAGGATCGTATGCCAACAACAGCAACCTACTGTTCACCAAAGATGACAGTACATGGGCCACCAAACACTGGTCATCACAAGACTCAAGCAACTACTCCCAAATGAGAACCTAGCAGGACACAGCTTTCGAGCAGGTGGAACCACAGAACTTGTCATGCGTGGTATGCAACTCGTACTGATACAGAAAATCAGTCGCTGGGACTCTGAATCATTCTACAGATATATTCACAATCACCCGGCATCTATTGCATCAATTCTCACCAAAGCATACTCTGATTGACCCCACCACAATTTGGAATCATCTGGGCCAATCAGCACTAACACATCATTCGACATCTATGCAACAACGCACAAATAAACAAAAAAAAAAAAAAAAAAAAGAGAGATAAATGTGGCATACACATGTTACATGCAGATAGCAAGTGAACGAGCAATCAAATAAATAAACCTAAAACAACCAAGCTACAGCAACAAGAAACATATAATAAATAAATAAATAGTCAATAACCATAGATGCATAATAAAAGGGAAGGAACCTAGTACACAAACAATAAGCAGTACACATACACACAAAAAATAATAATAATAATATATATATATATATATATATATATATATATACATAATAATATCAATAATAAATAAATAAATAAATAAAGCAAAATACATTTGAGCAAGCAAATACATTCACAGCAGTTACGAAGAAACGAATCGTCCCTATCCTAGAGATGCGAACTGTGTGAATTATTTATATTAACTAATAGTTTACGGATCACATCTCTACCCTATCCACAGTCTGCCAGAACAACAGATCCATTTAACATAAAAATACAATAAACAAACTGAGCCGACATAAACAGGATACAGCATATGGTGCGGACAACTAAAAGGAATATAAATCTTCAAGCAATAAACAGTCTAACACCAAATAAAATAAAAAAAAAAACAAAGCAATCGCAATAATAATGCAAAAAAAAAAAAAAAAACAGAACAAACAAAAAACAAAAACATAATACTGAACAATAATAATAAAAGATAATAATATTAATTATGACAGTAACATGTTTTACACATATTCAATCTCCAAAGTTACAGACACAACTGGGTTCTAGTACCCAAGCATAGACCTTGCACGCTAGCTATACCATGACAGACTTTTCCTACCAGCTTGGAATAGTCACCTGATTTTGTCATTTAACAGCTAGCTTGCTGCGGCAGGCGAGAAACTACCGGCTGATAATCTATCTATCTAATTCCTATCTGCTCTGTTACAGTGACTCTCAGCGCAATATCAGTTGCTAACTCTCGGGATGTTCATTGTTTCAGCACTATTAATCTCTAGCTATTATTCCTACATTTTCATGTACTCACAATACTACTAAATAAAAATCGTCTCAGCTCTTCTAGCTGATGTTTGCTCATAATAGGGTTTGCTTGTGTTTTTCATATAAGTTGACACAGAGTCAACTATTCGAAAAACTAAGCAATACTCTATTATCAGCTATCACATGACCGCCGTGACCCAATCAGATCACATGCCAGAATCAGAGGAAGCATCAGACAAATGGACTGATCCATCAATGTAACTATCAATAACGTCATACTATAGAACACATCACTATATAAATACAAGCTCCAAGTCGTAGTAAAATATGAATTTTAATTCATAGCCAATTTAACCTCTATCAAATTTCTGCTCCACCTATCCCTCCTCGAGACTAGTCAGCTGATAGAATAGTCACCTGATTCTGTCATTTAACAGCCAGCTTGCTGTGGCAAGTGGGAAACCACTGGCTGATAATCTATCTATCTAATTCCTATCTGCTCTGTTACAGTAACTCTCAGCGCAATATCAGTTGCTAACTCTCAGGATGTTCATTATTTCAGCACTATTAATCTCTAGCTATTATTCCTATATTTTCATATACTCACAATACTACTAAATAAAAATCGTCTCAGCTCTTCTAGCTGATGTTTGCCTATAATAGGGTTTGCTTGTGTTTTTCAAACTAGTTATATAAAATATAGAAGAATATAATAATTATTAAATATAGTTAGTTAGAAAACATAAAGCTAGATAAGATATATATAGGTTATAGAATATTTTAATAGGTTTAGATTATAGATAAATTAGTTTAAGTTTCTGTAGTTATAAATTAATATATATAAAATTGTAAATAATAGTAATATATATTAATAAAAACCAGAGATGTAATCTTATTTTAATATTAAAAAAAAAAAAACTAGAGCTATTTTGATTAGAAAAACATTTTTTATTTAATATACAAAATTGATTTATTTAATAAAATTTTAAGAAAATTAAAGATTTTTATAAATAGCTAAAACTTTAATTTGATTTAAAATTTTAAAATCAAATAATCAAATCAAATTCAAATTCAGTTTTTTAAATCAAATCAAATTCAAATCTAGATTTTTAAATCAAATCAAATTTAAATAAGCCTAATATTTAATTTGATTTGATTTTAAGAAACCCTATTGTTAACAAAACTTATATATATAAAAAGATAAATGTTAATATTACACCCTGTTATATAAATTATTTGTTACAGGTTATATATAGATATAAAATTTGAAGATCATGTGTATGTGAACGCATTCAAGTAACTTTTAATGGAATTTACCTCGTATTTTTTTTTTCATTAATTCTTCATTTTTAATATTTGGTTCCTAACTGATTTTGTGATATGACAACATTTTTAACTGTTCTTAGGAGTAACGTATACTATTGCACTTTTATAAACTAATAAATTTGATATTGAGCAGGTAGAAGCAACATTTAAATATAGTTGCTCAACCGACTAATGCTGAGGCCAGTATCTTTTACGTGGTTAATTCTGAAACTGGTACTTCATATACGGTTAATGCAGAAGTCAGTATCCTTTATACAGTTATGATTGATCAAGTAGCAAATATTGAAAGTAGCACTTCCTATGCGTTTACTGCTGAAGCCATTACCTCTGATGCAGTAAATGCTGAATTCAATACCTCCTATGCGGTTAATATTTAACCTAATAGCTCATATACGATTGATACTGAGACTAACACCCTCTGCAAAAATGCAGTTTACGATGAAGCAACTACTGAGAAGGTTAACAGTATAGGTATTAGTAATACTGTAGTATAAAGTTATGGTTTGTTATAGGTTTAGTTTTAACGTTTCAAGCTTGCAAACTTATTTTTTAGGTGAGATGCAACACGATTTTTCCTTACTAAAACTTGGTTATACGTTCCCTTTATGGGATGACGTTAAAGCTTTTTTTAAAACTTATGGTCAGTATCATGGGTTTGCTATTATTAAAATAAGGGTTGAACAGCATAACGACGGTATAATTAGATATTGATCTTTTGGATGTGAGTTTAGAGGAAAATATGTATCTAAGAAGAATATCAACATTAATGCTCACCGCAACCGACAATAAAACGTAAAGGATGTTAATGGCATATCAATCTAAGTTTGTCTAAAAAATCCAATCACATTACAGTTACAACATTTGTAAATACCCACAACCATGAACTTGATCCTGAAAAGTGTAAATACAATGCTAAGTTCAGGTCAATTGGAGACGAAGCATTGAACGATATTGAGTTTTATACAAAAAATGGAAATCTTTCAATTACTATACAGTGTCAATTACTAAGAGCAAAGTACCCTGATGCAACTTTCTTAGATATGGATCTTACTAACGCTATTCAATATTATAAAGTTAAGTCTAAAGATCTTAAAAATGATGCTTCACAGCTTTTATTATATCTTACTGAGAAGCGTTCAGAAGAGTCAGGTTGGAGTGTTGAATTCGAGTTAGATAGCAATAACTGCCTTACCCGGATTTTCTGGATGACTTCTGAACAGATATCCCTTTGGCTAGAATATCACGATGTCATTTTAAATGATAATACATCTAAGACGAATTGATATTAGATGCCTTTGAGTTTGTTCCTTGCTGTCGATAATAATGCGAGATCTCGTTTGGTTGCACAAGCATTAGTTTCTGATGAACTGTTGACTCATACCTATAGATTTTTCAGTGCACTATGAAAGCTACAGGTGTTAAGCCTATGGTCTTTGTGATGGATGCAGATCCAGCGATGGACAGTTCGTTAAAACAAGTGTATAAAAATACTTATTCATTACATTGTATTTTTCACATCAGCCAAAACCTTCCAAAGAATTTGAAGGGAATGTTAGATAATGCGTATGATCAATTCGTCAAAGATTTTTATCTTTGTCATAATACTTTGGATGAGATGCTATTTGAGTCCAGATAGAAAATTTTATTAAAAAAGTTACCATCTGCTTCAAGTTACCTGAATCAGACTTTTTACTCTAGTCGTTACTTATGGGCTTGTGTCTTCATATCCAAAGTTTTCACAGCAAGAATTCAAACTACATCACGTGTTGAAGAGTATGTTGTAAATTAATACGTTATAATTTGATTTGGTTAGGGTTAGGGTTAGATTTATGATTATTGTTGGGTTAGGTTTATGGGTTAGGGTTTGGGTTAGGTGTAGGTGTATAAATTGGGTTAGAATAATTTAAGATCGTGTCAGATATTAGTTAAGATCAACTTGTCTGAGGTTCATTTTGTGTCTTAATTTACGATTTAGATTGCTATATTTTCACTCTAGGATATCGACTAATATCTGACATGTTATACTAAATTCTATTCATACTATAGGTATAAAAACATTATCAAAAGAGTATTATATAGTAACGGTGGTTTATGTGATTTGGTAAAGACTTTGGATTCATAATTAGAAAAAGAGGCTGAGTAGAACCGTTTTTTTGAGTATCAGACTCTGTTATCATGTGTTGGGATTGCATCTGTTAATAGTGAAATATTGCCTGCTGTTGACCATATATTCTTAGAATACTTGACCCTACAAATTCTTTCTATTGAGCGTATTGAAATGGCACAGTGTTTATACTTCGATACGACATTAGTTGACTTAACAGTAATTAGATTAGATAACGAGAATGAGAATATAAGTGATGATTTACAGAAAATGTTTATGATGCGAAGCAGATTTTACTTAAGTCAATGATATCAAAAGTGGATCAAATTAATATTAAAGAGACCTGGCAAATCACTGATAAACGACCTAGAAACAGTCAAAGAAACACTTTGTTATTGTTCTTGATTCTATTTCTTATATGTGTACATATATGTCAAATATATCCCATAGTATTCTATGTCGACATTACTTTCAAGTAATGTTGGTGTCACAAATTTCTGAATTTCATATTGGAATGGTGGCGTGTGTTGGTATTGTGATAGCAAGAAAAAAGAAATTGATCAGGAAAATGTGATTTTTGCAAATTCAGATGCTAGTGAAGCTCAACAAGGTCAAAAAACACCTTTGATTTCTAAACCTTTTACAGTTTCCTGTTCAATAGCAATAAGCAACCGAAGTGCAGCAGCCAGGCATTCTAAATTTGGTGAAATTTGGGGTCTTGCACAGCAAGCTGTACAATTGGCTGTAGAATGTGATGATAATGATATGAAACTATGGTTGAAATGCTTTATTAATCAAAAGAAGTATCTTTTAATACAAAATGAAGAGCCTAAAAACAGTGATAATAGCAAAAACAGCGAAAAGGAAAATAATTCTGCAATCAAAAATCCAGCGATTACTAAGCATAGGGGCAGGCCTGCGACCAAAAGGTTCAAGGCTGCAACAGAAAAGCCTCGTCGTCAGCCGTATACATATCGAAACTGTGGTAAGACTAGGCACAATAGTGCGAAATGTCAAAAGAAAGTTGGTTAATTTGATGTTGGTGGGTTATTGGGAGGTTTGTCAATTATTATTTGATATGTTATTTGATGTGCAGTTGTTGTTTGATATATGATTGTTATTTGATGATTATTGATGTGTGATTGTTATTGATATGTGATTGTTGTATTATGTGTAATTGCTGTATGATTGCTACGCTTATTATTAATGAACTGCATCTGAGTGATTCTAGGTTATAGTTTATTAGAATAGATAGATGCAAAATTCGATAGCATGTACGATTGATAAGATGTTTAATTGGGTAAGTATATGCTATAGAAAAATCGGCTATCGTATGTACATAACGTATGTACTATCGTAGTTTCATGTGTCTATTCTAATTTACATTATTTTGCTATTTACTTGGGTCTGATAAAATAACATACAGGGGTGTTATTTTGAATTTTGGCCCAAATTAAGCTTAATTCGAGCCAAATTTTGAAATTACATTACTGCGCGTTAATTCGGAAAAATATAGTAAAACTGATTGCATTGTAGTTTTGAATTGCAAATACTGTAAACTGCTATATACAAGACCCGGGTCTGTTTCATTTTACTAATTTTAAAACCTATAATTAGACCTGTGGGTCTCTTGTATGGGTATAGATCTGATAATCAGGGGAGGGTTTATATAC